TATTCAAAATGCCTGGACAAGGGCCTGAGCGCTCTGCTCTGACTGAACCTCTGATCTTCATGGAGTGGAGAGACGCTCCAGCCCGTGTTCTGTGGAACACTTACAATATGCTGAAGTCCTGCTCTCACTTGCAGTATCCTTTCCCTTCTCAGTTACCCCCAAACCTTACTGCTCCCATCCAGCCCTCTCTTGCCTCTTCAAAGCCTCAAAGCAGGTCCCCCTCACTTTCTCTGGAAAATAACGCACTGCCAGTACTTAACTGGATTTTGGCATTTATTACCAAACTTAATGGGATTTGCATGCCTAGTGAAAGCTGATCTTAATGAGAAAAGACTTGACATATTGCCATCTCCTTTTTTCTTCATCTTTGCAATTCTATTGACTGTACATTATTTTTGCAGGAATCATGTCTAAATAAGTCTGTTGCCTTACTCTCCTAGCCTTGAATCCTCTCATTTTCCTCTACAGTGAAATAACTCATTTATCTAGTCCCAGTTGAGTTTTGTGAATTCTTGATCATGCCCTTCAGTTCAATGAACTAAACATAAGAAATTAAAATTTCCTGCTTGGTTTTTTTGGAAGCCAACAATAGCTCCACAGCCAGCAAGATACCCCACCTACACTTTGGTGATGGCAAAGCTTATTTCTAGGTTGAAAGAGTACAAAAGGTCAATATTTTAGTCTTTTATAAGAAAAAATCGGGGGGGGGGGGATCAATAAATTAAATGTTCTGTTTTGAAATTGGGGATGGTCTGAATTTTGGAGTAATTTTTTTAATAAATTCTGACTGGTCATTCGTAAGCAACTTGAAAATATCAAACTGGGTGTATTAGAAAGTGTTGAAATTTCTAGTACTCTTTGGATGGGAAGAAATTTAATCAATACTGCTCTTCTTTGAGAGGTTCTTCTGATTTTGGCAAAGTAGCATTTTTTCTAATGAAAGACTGTCAGAAAAAAAATGGTAATAGTTCTAGAAGTCAAATCCTTATTTCATAAATATTCTTATTATGGTATAAACTCAGGCTTCCTGTAGTTCCCTCCAGTCATTCTAATATAAACTATGAGGCTTTTTTAGGGCTATTTTAGTCAGTTTGTCCAGCGAGTTAGAGATGTTGGGCCCCATTCTATTTGCAGTTATTGCTGGATTGCCTTTGGACTTCAGCTAGCGTAAAATTCAGGCCAGTATGCTTGCTGTGATTAAAACAACTATTTACAATATGTTAGTCCTCAATATTGTCTGTATTATTTTAAGGAAAATATAATCTTCATTAAAATTCCATACCATTTCCTTGAGCTGTGTGAATGGTTTAGCATTATTTTTCTTCTCTTTTTAAAACATAAATAAATCCTTAAGCACATCATTCCATTCTCTGCATTTTATAATGCCTTACATCAAATATTTGTTGATTGCACATGAAAAATTAAAAAAAAAAAAAGTCTTTTTAAATGCTGACTATCGTATAAGGTATTTCCGAACAACAAAAAATACCATATTTTTTTTGTTCATTTGATTACTTGATGTAGTAATGTAAGTACATATTTTAATTAAAATGTCATGAGCTATAGTAAATATGATCCTCCATCACTACCTTTGTGCATTAAAGATTTACAGCTGTAGTGCCCTGTATTATTGCCTGGAAAAAAATAATTAGATTTTAGAGTCTACTTTTAAAAATATATTGGTTTTATTCTTTGCAATAAAGTAGAAAGCTTGTTAGATACAATGAGCAATGCTTGATAATACTGAAGGCATGAGAAACCAATTTCAAAAAAACTGTTTAGAACATTAGATATGTATTTAAGTTAGTAAATGACTGGAGGCACATTAAAAAAACATGCCTGACCTCTCATAAAAATATAAGCTTTACATATTATCTGTTTGTTGTAAAAGATATGACAGATGAATTAATACAGTTGAAACTGCTGTCACTGTGAAATGGATTATTTTTCATATTCAGTGTCTGCTGTTTATCAGGCTAACACATGACTTTGAATGTCTGCCTTAATAAATTGTCCTCCTGAGGTGATGGCCAGTGCTCTGTGTGACAGGTCTGCTGTTTCTATCAGATAGTCTCAAGTGTTCGAGAGATCTTCGGTATGGTGTTTGCAGGTTCTCTGTTGATAACCTGTGAGAAGGCGGGTGTTGTGGCTAGCCTTCCAGAAACATTCGATTTTTAAATCCTAACCTTTGGTAGGTCTTCTCAGTGGTCAGCACTTCAGAAAATAAGCACACTTAGAAAGAAGCTTAACTTTCTGCCCTTGCGTTTGTAAATCTTGGTCTGCCTGTCCTGTTCTCTTATGGAGAATGTCGCTCCCTTCAAGGTGGAAAGCAAAGGTCTTGGCAACATGATGATCAAATTTTGTCAGTTTGTACTCAGAAGACAAATTAAAATCAGCTGCCTTAAGTAGCAACCAGCGTGGCATCAGAAACATGAGTCCTGGCCCAAGGGGAGACTTGGGACTGTGTGACAGCATTGCCTTTTTTTGGCAAAAGTGCGGGCTATTGTCCTAAACGAGTCCTGAAGCAGCACACTTGTCAGCCAGAGCACTCGGTCACCCAGTTCAGACCTCAGCATCTGGGAGTCTGATGCTTTGCGCTAGCACTTCAGAGAGGAGCAACAGTCACCAGCCTAAAGTCAGAACACAGTGGAAGACTGAACAATTTGGAAAGAAGGCAGCAGCTATGTTAAAAAGTAGCATTTCTTTTCAGTAGAAAAAGCAGACTGAATTTTTCAGGTTGAAAAGAGAGTGAGATACCGTAGCAATGAAGACAATTGTGTGTATACTGGGAAGGCATGTTGCACTGTACAGTGAGTGAACATGACATGTTTTGTCAATGTAATTGCTCCAAAAGGAACAGATCTTGCTTTTTCTTCAACAACAGGAAGGGCCCCAAGGTGGCACGTGCAGTGAACGTACGGTTTTTCAAGGGAAGCGGGGGGAAACTTCAAAGCTACCATTTCCTTCTCCATCTTGGTCACTGGAGTAGAACTAAGTTATTGCTGTGGCTCCTTGAATTTCTGGAGCAGAAAACAGGGCTGAAAGTGGGAGATCCTATTACAAAGGTATTCCTTATGGACAGGAACAGGTGAAAGCCATCAAATGCTCTACAGGTATTCGATAGCTTCTGTCTGTCATTCCAGTAGGAAAATGTATTCCTCCAGCTGGGCTTGAGTGAGCTATTTAATGTATAGCCAGTTACGGTTATGTGTTACGTAAAGAAAGGCACAAGTGTTTGAGTAGGCACTGCTTCCACAATTGTTATACTGAACCTGGACTTTGGTCTTCCCTAACTCCTATCATTCTTCACCCTTCACATCCAGAAAATCAAGAGAGTAACCTCAGGTTTTTAGTTAACTGAATCCATCTCAGTTGTTTATTTTCATTCATTTATTCATTGCTAATAATTTCTTTCTTTTAGAAGTTGATCTTAATGGAACACTCCATCAGCTTAAAAACTTGATCAGCCTATTGACTTTAAAAAGTGATTGTTAGTCAAATAACACATTTCTGTGTCTTCTTCAGGAGATAGAAAGAATATCTGTGGAATAATTTTCATTCTCTGTTGTTCAATCAACAACTGTAACAGGAGCAGTCTTGTATGACAAGCCATCATGCAGCAAGTATTTTTACTATGTTAATTGTAAAAAGCCCTTCAGCACCACTGTCAGTCCTTATACAGAAAGATGCTGGGGGAGCGGGGACTGAAAAAAAAAAATCCTTCAAACAGCTACTTCTGCTATCAGTTACTTTCCTGTCTGTCTCACAGGACCTTTCACATGGAGCATCTCTCAGTGAGGCACTCCCAGAAATAAACTTCGACAAGTCCATTAAGGTTAATTTTAGATTGTGAACATCCTTTGAAACTTGCCAGTTTTCATTACAGAAAAGTAGCAGTCTTGAAGTGCTTGCAGTATTCCACGGATATTCTTGAGAAAATCTCAGATGACCTCCAAATGCAGAACACTTCTTAAAGCAAAAACAGTGGGGATAACCCTCCTCCCTGGGCTGGTTCTCATGTAGGTTGTCTTAAGCCTCACTCACTCCAAATCAGCATTGCAAATTCCGACATTCATTTGCACAGAAGATCATAGGAAACTATTAATTCTTCAAAGCTGATGGGAAAGCCTAAATACGTGGCCGTTTGTTTTGCTGAAGGCTATAGTTTGAACACTGTTTTCATTATGAGGTAGTGGGGGAATGCAGGTAAATTGCTTAGCTACCAGCAGGAGGGACAAGATATTTCTACAAGACTATTGCCATTTACAGTGAGTTTTCTGTCTTCATGTGCATTTCTTTTGCTCCATGGGTCCCCTTTAAGTCAGAATGTAAGGCAAACTGCACTAGGTCTGGTCTATAACCATGGCTGAAAATAGAGTGTCAAAAGGAGGTTCTTCCTCCACAGTACTTCTGTTTCCTACTGAGCTGTATTGGTAAGGCAAGAAGATTCAAGTTTAGATTTTGAAGACAACTGGCTGAACCAAACACCTAATTTCATTCTACAATGGGAATCTGAATTCCACCTTTAGAAGACTGCAGTGTAGTTTTTAAAGGTACTTAGAGTTTGGTTCGCCGGCAGATTCAGGAGTTGCTTGATGAAACACTTGTTTTAAAGGCAATTCACATATTTTACTTCCACTGTTGTCTAGCGTTTCACAAAACTGTGGAGTATACTCCTTTTTCAAAATCCACTGTTGTGCTTCCCCAGACCTCCATCCTATATGTGTTGGGTAAAAAGTTTTTGTAAATAATGCATCTATCATAAACTGTTCATAAATATCTTCTGATGGTGGGCTGCTTCCCCTTTCCTTGCCATTATGCCTCAGCTGTTACCTAGATGGTTGCTAACATGGAGATGAAGAATTGGTTGTTTTATTCTCGCCTTGTTTCCAGTTGAACAAGAATTACAGTAGAATCCACTAGCAACAGGACTAACGTGTCTGAAATATCCCTGATCACTGCTCTATACTGAAAATATGATTACCTGTGTTTCTTTGCAGGAGCATATGTGCTACAAGTAAAGGCAACAGATGCTGATGATCCTACTTACGGAAACAGTGCTAGAGTGGTTTACAGCATTCTTCAGGGGCAGCCATATTTCTCCATTGATCCGAAGACAGGTAAATAGTTTATCAGCAACAGTGGAAGATTTAAAGTTTAGATTTTGATTCATGTGGGCAGTATCAGTGAATAAATATGGACTGGGCTGATATGGCCAAAAGCCAGTAGAGTAACTTTGCACATGATTCAGTTTTGAGTATTGACTAGTTTTTGAATAAATTATAATCTGTTGTAGAAACAAAAGAAACATGCCTCTGCAATCAGTCTAAAATATGTATACATTGAACATTTTTTTTTTTTATGCTTTACCATTTCTCTATAGCTAAAGTTTTATCTGCTACATGCATTCTGTTTTTTGGGTTTTTTTCCCCTGATGATTCAGTTTTGTATCTTGGGTCTACATTCTTTTTTCTTAGCATTTTTACTTGCTGAACTTACAGTCAGAAATTCTCTAGCAAGGATTGTTTTGCTATATAGAGCTAATTTGAGACTGTGGAACAGCTAATCATCTTTTGCCCTCCTCTTTTCCTGGGGCATGGTATGTTTGTCTGGGGTTGCTGGATGTGTGAGCAGAAAAGGATAATACCTTTAAAGAGACTGAAGTATTTGGGAGGTTGGTAGACATGTTAATTAGGTATCTTGTCCTATACTTCTAAATGTCATTCTTGTTTCTGTATTTAGTAATTCAGTTAAGGAGCCAATAACCTACATGGTGAATTCCATGCATTGTGTCATCCTGAATGTGTTACAGAGATAGTTGTCCATATGCCCCTTTCAGCAAATAGTTTCTCCTTCCAGTGGAGCTGTACTTGAATGTCAGTTTGTGTGTTAAAGAGCCTTTATCTCTGATCAATAGTTTGGCAGTGAGAGCCTCATAAGGCTGTTAGTGCACTGTCTCCAGTGGGCACATTCCTTTGTCACATGCTTCATTTAGCAGGAGATCATATTGCCATTTTCAGTGAGCAATTTTACTTTTCGAACTGAAATGGGACTTCTTCAAGTGTCTGGGGAAAAAGAAGTATTTACTTTTATACCTATTTTTTTATTTCAGTCTTGTAAAGAATGAGGAGGAATTTAATGGCAAGAAAAACCTTTACTGGAGCCACAATTGGAGTTCTAGTACAAGTTTCCCAAGGAAAAAAATTAATAGTTGTTAGTACTTGAAGAAGAACTTTTTTTCCCGTGGCACTTTGAAGTGCTGTATCATATGCTCTCATCTATTACTTAGTAGTGAGTAGCGAGTGGATCATAGGTGATGGCCTGCACTGTACTAGCCCTGGAACATCATACAAACCCAGTGTTTGCACATCTGTATATCAATATCTTTAATGAGTTATTCAAGTGGGCCTTGGTGGTAAAAGAATGGACACAGCTGTAAAGGAAGATTCATGAAACAGCTAGCCCAGCATAGCTTAAAATCCTATACCAGAAAAAAGCATATAGATTCACGCTTCTATGAGCAACAGTAATGTGCTGTAACCTGGCTTACATTAGAAAGGTCACAATGTGAGAGTTACCTGTGCGTCTAACAATGACTGTAGAGATAGACAGCATGTGAATAATAATGCACAGGACCATGCTTAATGATTTGCTGTAAAATCCAGGAGTCTTGGGCAGCACTACAGATCTGGCATTTCCCATTCTTTATTTTATAACTGAGGAGATGATACAGTAGTTTTTCACTGCAGAGTTTTACTGGCAGGCACCTGCCTTGGGTGTTTTTGACAGGAGAGGGGAAGAAAGCCATTTGGCTACAAAATGACAGACAAACTCAGAAGTGCTGGCAGATAGATAAGCATTTTTGGGGTTGCCGTTGTTGGCTTTTTTGCTGTCTCTTGCATTCTAATGACAATTTTGAGACATTCCCTTGTTGTTATTTAAAGAACTTAAGAACATCCATACTAGGTCAGAGCAAAGGTCCATGCTGCCCTGTGTCATGTTTCCAAAAGTGATGGCCTGCTCAGCTGTAGTGAAGGATAAAAGAAGAAATGTTTAGTGATGCACCCCCTGAATACTCTTCTAGTCTTCAACAACTTGTTCTTACGAAGTTCCTGGGCGATTAGCAGTGTCCGTGTGACTAAAACTCTGAAAGGATTTCACCTCCATAACTTGTCCACTTCCCACTAGAGTTGACTTGTCCAGGAGCATAGTATCTGCGCACCCAGTGACTAGAAATTCCACAGCAAAAGGTTCTTTGGGTGAAGACCCAGGTCCGCTTGCTTTTTTGAAATGCAACACCTCTTAACTTATTTCATACCTCACACTTATATTGCACGAGACAGTGAGCAGTTAATTCCTATTTATTAGTTCCCCGTGACCTTATAGACCCATATTCTCCTCCAGTTCCCTTTTTTCTAGATTGAAGACTTCTTTAAACAGAAGCCATTCTGTAACACTGATTATCCTTCTCATCCTTCTCGGGATGAGAAAGAGCACACAGTATTCAAGAAGGAAGCTCATATAGATATATAAAATGGTTTAATTATAACACTTCTGTTCTTTATTCCTTTCCAAACAGTTCCAAACATTCTGTGTACTTTTTAGCTTCTACCACACAAAAGCTGATATGTTTGTGGAAATTTCTATTACTACCTTAAGATCTGTCGTGGTTTAACCCCAGCCAGCAGCTAAGCACCACGCAGCCGCTCACTCACTCCCCCCCACCCAGTGGGATGGGGGAGAAAATCAGGAAAAGAAGTAAAACTCGTGGGTTGAGATAAGAACGGTTTAATAGAACAGAAAAGAAGAAACTAATAATGATAACGATAACACTAATAAAATGACAACAGCAATAATAAAAGGATTGGAATGTACAAATGATGCGCAGTGCAACTGCTCACCACCCGCCGACCGACACCCAGCCAGTCCCCGAGTGGCGATCCCCCTCCCCCACTGCCCCCAGTTCCTAAACTAGATGGGACGTCCCATGGTATGGAATACACTGTTGGCCAGTTTGGGTCAGCTGCCCTGGCTGTGTCCTGTGCCAACTTCTTGTGCCCTCCCAGCTTCTCGCTGGCTGGGCATGAGAAGCTGAAAAATCCTTGACTTTAGACTCAACACTACTGAGCAACAACTGAAACCATCAGTGTTATCAACATTCTTCACATACTGAACTCAAAACACAGCGCTGTACCAGCTACTAGGAAGACAATTAACTCCATCCCTGCTGAAAGCAGGACAAGATCGCATCGCAAAGCGGTAATGGTGAAACCACTGACCATAACTTTATATATGAAAGAAGGATTGTGTTTGGCATGCACATGATTTTACACATACACCTTTCTCAAATCATTCCTGATAGGTGATAAACATTTGCTCTGATATGAATGTGGTACACTTGAAGAGTTTTTAACCTTTGTGGGTCTGAATGTCACAGCTGCCCCTTTACTCCTCTTCTTTACTGACCTAATTTTTTGCAGTGCTTTGCTGGAGGTAAGCAAACTCTGGAAGCAGGAGAGTTAGCTTTTATTGCTCTTGCAGGAAGGTTAAATGCACTACAGTCCCTGCTGGAAAGCAGCTGTTGGACTGGCACATTTTAAGGCCTCAAATCTTATATGTGGGGGTTACTTCTTGATGCTATGAAATTGCTCTTCTGATTTTAATGTGAGTTTTCTTTAACACGGAGCAATTCTCTTAAGAGAGATAACCTCACTTATCTTTCCTCTGTACGTTCTGTTCTTTTACTAAAATGTCCTTTTGACAAACTTCTTTCCACCCAAACTTCTGATATGTTTATGAGGTCAATATTCTTCTTTATGGCTAGATGTCTCCAATTTTTTCTTAGACCTGGTATTCTAGTCCATATTCTGACCTCAGTTATATTCTTGAAATCCAAATTGGTGTCAGCAGGAGTATTGATGTTAATATTTATTCAGGAGGTTTTTCACGGAACCTGGATTTTCTCTTCCACAAAAGTGGATCATCTCCTGTTGAATTACGGCTCAATAAATTTGCGGAGTGTATCTTCTGGCCCAGGTCCCATACATACTATTTTCAATTTTCAGCAGCCTCATCGAGACCATACTTTTCTGCACATTTGATATTGATGACATTTGCAAAGAAAAAAAAATCGAAGTTATTCAGTTCTGGAGCTGAACAATCTTTACTTCAAAATCTTAAGGTAGAAGGATTTAAAAACACTCAGAACACCATTACATGCACATAAGGACTCTACATTATAATAAGCCTTTGATTTAAAGTTTGGATATTCCTTGTCAAGCTAAAGCTGGAATACCAATATTTGTAGTGCTTTCTTTCCCATGGATTTTTATCTCCATTTTAGTTTTCTGTTTTCCTGATCAGAAAACTTTAAATCATCTTTGTCCTGTCCATATGAACTTCTGATTTTGGTGGAAATAGTATTTTTCAGGGTTTTTTCTATGCTTTTGAAATAGAGTAGGTAGAAAAGGAAGAACTGCTTATGAACTGCTAGACATGGAAATTACTCTCATTGATTTTTTTTGCTGGAGACAAAGGTTTTTTACAGAAAAATATATGGAATGACCTTGTACTTCCAGACAGGAATAAACAGTGGGGGATTGGGAACGTTACTACTAGAGTGATAGCCAATCCTTCATTTTGTGAAGACCATCTGGAATATTTCTGACTGAGAAAGCTACTCAGTTCTACCTAAAACAGGTATAACAATCAGATGAACTGCATCTCCTGCTCACAACCTACTATCTGCCCATTTTCATGTTTTCTACTTATTTTGTTTTGCTAGTATAACAAGGGAAGTCTTTAATTCTCAGAGCTCTTTTCTCCTTGAAATGAGCATACCAAGGATGTTGTAAAATACTGTGGAACATATAGTCTCCACAGTGCAAAAGTACGGATTAAGACACTCAAGAGGAAGCCTAGTAATGTTCATTCTATTTACAAAAAGATTTTCTCATAAATCTCACATGAATATGAACAAATTTTTACAATTTTACAGTTCAAGATTCCTGTTTGGAACAAACAAAACATTGAACACCACTGTTTTCAAAAGTTCAAAAGCATAGTGTTGCAGTATCTAAATGTTCTTAAGTATTTGCTAGTCATATTCCAGATCTATGCAGTACAATATATGCCATGCTGAGGTAGAAAATAGTAGTTATTATTAAAGTTGTCATTATCATAATCGGTGTTACAAGTGGAGAGAAAGGAAATTGTTATACAATTCAATTCAATGGGAATTTTTAAGAGGTTCCAGAAATAGCAGATTTAGGTCAAAGTTATTTCTAGACTCTGAACAAGAACTATAAGTGAACAGTTCCTATTCTTACTTGTTAACACAGCAGTGGTTAGTCGCTATAAAGAGAAGAATGACCCTTAAAGCTTGTTTCTTATCATTCCGGACGCATTATAACACCAGGGGAAAAAGACTGCTTTTAAACCCAAATAGTTTAATACTAGAAAATAATATTTTCTAAAACAATAATAACTTAGAGCAGAAGCATGCTTCTAGTTGGTTTATTTTTCAGTTGTGCATGCCATCTGCACCAGTCTGCACTTAGCCATTTTCTGAAAACTATTGCTGAATATATAGCATTTTTGCAATGTAATATGCATTTGTAAAATTTTGACAGAAATGTGTTTTCTCCTATACATTTGGTTTCAAGAGAAAGGCTTGAGAGCCCAAAACCTTATAGCTTTTTACAACCTCATCAGCTAATCCTATGATCAGTAGTACCTCTTGCTCTCTACAAGTCTTCCTTTATCATGTACATTCTCAACATATCAGAAGGGAGATTATGGCATACCTATTTAGACATCAGCTATCCAAAATCACTGAAGATTAAGAGTCATTTGGGTAATGTCTTACCATGGTATTTTAATTACATTTCTTTAAGGAAAGTCCTAAAGTTTTCATGGCATCTATGTGCTGTATCAAGAAAACTTTGTCACACAAAGGAGAGTCTTCTAATAAAGACCTCCTTTTGTACAGAAGGAATATTGTCTTGGCCTACAGTAGCTTAAATGTGATGGCAAGTGACTGGTTGCGAACAATTGAGGATGCAGGCTCTGAAATGCATTGCCATCTCTTCCTACATGGCCCTACTCTGCACAGTGCAGTGTTCTTGGGTCCCGATGTGGCAAACCTATGCTCACACCATTCACATCCCTAGTGAAAATGCACCGTCCTCTTTCAGCCGTTCATGTCCTGATTGAAAAGACACAGCAGTCATTTTAAATGGTTGAATAGCTGAGGAGCACACTTATGTAAAGCCTGAGTGATTTGCATGTTTCTGTGTGAACTCCTCTCTTATCAACCCTTTAGGAAGAGTTCCATTCCTGGTCCAAGAGACCCAGTATTAAAATGGAATAGTAGACAATCTCAGTCCTTTGCTTACCTGTTCTTTCTCTTTCCCATTTCTTCTCGTAGGTGTAATAAGAACAGCTTTGCCAAATATGGACAGAGAAGTGAAAGAACAATACCAAGTGCTGATCCAAGCCAAGGACATGGGAGGACAGCTGGGAGGACTAGCTGGTACTACCACTGTAAACATTACTCTCACGGATGTCAATGACAACCCACCCAGATTTCCTAAGAGTATGTTGTATTCCAAATGCACTAATTTTCAAATAAGCATGACTGAAAGTATTAATGTGAAAAATCCTTTAGATAAGGAATTGAGATCCAGGAAGAAGACCAGTATATAATGAAAATATTTAGAATATACTGTTGGGGTTTTTTTAAATAATATAAAGCTCAATTTTAAAGTATGAGTTTTGAATGTTTGAAAGGAAATATATCATCATTCCACAGGACCAGCCTGAGCCTGAGAGTTCATTTCATTTACGCTTTAAAAATTACTTGGGAAATACTATTTTGTCAAGGGAAACTGGATGATCCCCTTCAAATGACAAAAGATTATAACCTGAGACTTCTAGGTACCAAAGACAGAACTGGCTCATGCTAAGCATTGTACACTCTCGAAATAGTGGTCATCCACTGACAATTTATAACATTTCATATCAATTAGTTTAAATGAGGCTTTTCAGAAGTATACTAATTTAAAGAGTTTCATAGTCTGTATATAATTAGCAGGATTGTCACTTACTGCTCTCCTTAAATTTACTGAAGTTTTGTATATTCCGTACCTTTGAAATGCAGAAACTAATCAAGCATAAACCTTGATAACTACGCCGAAACAACTAGCTGCTAAAAGTTGTTAGTAAGGCAAATTCATATGAGAACATTCGTGTGAATTTGCAGTAAGATCATGGCAGCTTTTTACTTTGAATCATTTTTCTTGCACATGAATTGTAATCCCACTTCATGTATTATAAATGCTCCTTAGGTACAAAACCACATCTGAAACTTCGCACTTTTCTTTCATATAAAAATTCTTCTTTTCCTCATGTGAAAATATATTGCGTTTCTGCCTGCAAGAATGACCATGTTAAGAGAAAGGTCCATCTGGCCCCGCCTTCTGTCTCGTACAGTAGAGGGTATACATAAGAACAGGCCAAAACAATACTCTGGAACATTTTCCTCAGTTTCTAATGATTTTTAGCCCAGATGGTGTCTTTGTATTTAACAACCCTCAATGTTAGCGAGGTGCACAGATTAATCATATATCGCACAACCAACAGCTTCCCCTCATTTGTTTTGAATCCATTCCTCCATATATACCTACATGTTGACCTCTTTAAAGAATTCAGAAAGCGTTGCAAAATATGACCTTTATTTAGAAAAGCTGCACTGAGGTTTTTTCAGTATGAGATATTCTCCATGAGTCCATGAATCCTGCTCCTACTGTTTTGCCCTGTGCATGTGAGTCATATCTATCCTTAGCTCCTTGAACTCCCTGGAAATCTTTGGGGAAAAAAAGTCAGTGTTATATTAGCACCTCCAAGCCTTCTTGTGCTACAGTACTTTGAATCAAAATATTACACATCATAATAGTTCACTTATTTCATTCTTCAGGCTCTTGGGCATGTAACAGCTAATCCCAATGATTTGTTACTGTTGTGTCTGTTCGTTCCACAACTGCTTCTATAGCTAATTAAACCTTCTCATGAGTCCCCGATAAAGAAGGGTTCCAGGATAGAAAAATTTCCCAGCTATTCTATGCTGAACACAAAGAAAAAAATGTATTAAGTTTTACATTTGTGATCTTATCTTCTCTGAGCACTTCTTCTGTATCTCAGTTTTGGGTTGGCTTTATGCAGTTCCTCTCAGGCTTTTGCCTCCAGATGTCTTTAAAAGACAATTATTATTAGCTTGTTTGCCAGAGATTTATTCAAACTCATTTTTTGTCTTCTTTATTGTAGTTTTATAGATAAAGCAGATTTTATGGTTCTTTCTATTGTCCTCCCTGAGACACAACTTCATTTTTTTGAAGGATGTGTTCTTGCTTTTATTAGCTATGTTGTTTACTCTTACAGACTTGCTTTTTAATGGGTGCTGTGCATTTGCTGTGGGTCTTCAAAATGGTGTCCCTCGATAGCATCCACACCATCCACAGTGATTTAACTGTCTCAGCTATCCCATTCAGGTTTTTTATAGCAATATCCCTCAGTTTTATTTATTTCCACTTTTTTTTTTTTAATTTAACTGAGTGCAACCATCATGTAATTTTGGCTTTTATTGCTCCTGCACAGATATTGCATTTCAACTCATTATGGTTGCTGTAAAATTTAGAAGAACTAAAGAACTTTTCCTGACTAGCTAGTGTTAATACTGTTCTCTCCTTTAAGTCTCATTTGACTTAGAGCTTCCTTTAACAGCCATCGTTATTCCTCCACTGATAAGGTCTACTTTGCCTTTCCTGCGCTGCCTGACTGATTTCCTTTTTTCCCACAGATTTCAAATATGCCTATTATGCTGATATTCTTGTTTAGCATGAGGCATTAAAGTTACCCATACTAGCTTCTATTTTAACCCTTGGCTTTATACTGTGGCTTGCTTTCTCCTCCTTACTGGACCCTAGTTTGATTCTGTGTGATCTGCTATTTCTGCATTTCCTACTGGATTACCATCACCTTTTGTAGCATTCTTCAGTGAAGAATGCAGAATTCTGATGACTGCACCCTTTATCTGAACTGTGTCCTTTTGCATGTTTTTTTGAATTGTGTGCTTTCTAACACCTGCAAATTTTGCTGAACTTTTCAGCTAGAATCACAATGGTCAGAGAAAAGTTTTTAAACTTCCTGAAGCCTGTTTTTCCTATGGCCAAAATGAATTTTGCCTCTTCTCTATGGGCGCCCATTCTTTAGCAAATGCCCCTACTTTCCAATAATGTGAATCCCTTCTCCTTACACCTTTGTCTCAGCCAGGCATTTAAAGCTTTGCCTTTCCATTTTTCTCTCCCTGATTGTAGATAGTGAGACAATTTCAGACTATGCTACTATGAATGCCTTTAACTTCAGCTTTCGCTTCCCAGCCTAAATTTCACCCCTAAGTGTTTTGTCCAGTCTCACCCTATTTTGTCAGAGCTCACCTGGACTACAGCCACTGGCATCTCCTTGTGTTTCCTGACATCCTGTCAAAACACTGGTGAGATGCTCCAAATCTGGTCAATGAGCAAATCATCCCAGAGGGTCTCTTTGAACCAACATTCCCACTGTCCTTGTCCTCAGTGCTTGTTAAACTGCCCACCGCTGCGGTCTGCTCTGTCCTTTCAGCTGGAAGCCCTGCTGCTGGAAGGGTACCGCAGGTGCAAGAGGAAATAACGTAACTGCCTGGGAATTGGAAAACTCGGTGCGTTGGCAAGTTCCTTGCACCCAGTGCTCTTTCCCGTGCCTGATTCTGAGCTGTGTATTTTACTTTCTTTGCTGTTAAGGGCCTCAGTAATTTTTTCTTTTAGTGTATGCCTTCATCTGCTGTGGTGTTGCAAAAATACACAAGTCTCACATAATGTCAGACAGTTTTCATGACACAGAGAAATCACGGAATATATCATCCTCTTTGAAGAAGATAGCCTTGAGGTCTCATTTAATGCATGCACTGTAGTTATGACGTCTTTGCCCAACTGTTGCTGTGAAGGAGCAAAAAACATCACAAGAGACCAAGCTTGTCCTGTGCTTTGCATGATAATGGGGTTGAAAACCTTTTCTTTCAATTAGATCAAATGTCACAGAAGCCGAATTATAGCAGTGTCTCTCAACAAAACAGAAGAGAATAATATTGGAAGTTTGTGTTGATATTGAAAATAATAAATATTTAGCATGGCTTACAAGCTAAAATGTCAGTATGGGGACTCCAGTGTATTGGAACAAGCTTGGTCAAGGCAGACAGTCACCTGAAAAATTGTTTTTTTTGGGGGTGTGTGTTACAGGCAACATATTTATATTCTCATAAACTGAGGACTTCTGCTTAATCAAAATAGTAAAAGCAAAAATCTTGGTCAATGGGGATTTACTTAGCCAGTCCCATTTGGTTAAGTGGTATGTGAGATAATGTATAGTGTGCCTGAAATTCACAGAGACACAAGGCTAATTACAGCTAATCAAAAATAATTGATAGAAAAAAAGTTGTGTATGAATTTTATTTCTAATGTACTAACTGTATTTTTCAGTTTTGCTCTTTGAAAACGTTGCAATGATTCAGAGTATCTACCTGCCAGGAAATGGAGTTTGTCATTTGCCTGACTACCATATCTAAACAGATACTGTGCAGAATTTTAATTTATGTGAAAAATAAGCCTTTAAAATCAGGTCCAGGTAGGTGCCAATTCAGGCCTGCAAGACCTAAAGAGCCCTCACTGTTGGTGGGAGTCCAGACCTCCAGTATCACATTACTCACCATTGGTCAACAAAGCCAGGAGGTCCAAGTTCAGACTGAAAAAAGGGACTGAAGGTCCTTCAACACTAACTGCTGCAGGGTAAATGTTTTTGCATCACATAATCAGGACCACAGTTTCCCAAAGGGCTTATACCAAAGATGCCATGGTATAGATTACCTTGTCGAATAAGAAGATATTAATTTGCACAGAAAAAAGTTTAAGTTTATTTTCTGAACTCAGTTAAGCTGAAAAAAAAAAACATTTCACAGCAGAAATGGGAGAACATATATTATTAATACTTGGAAGAAGCTACATTGATAAATAATACATTACAAGCTTGCCAAAAAAGTGTATCACAGAACACCTTCATCTCATCGAGGATCCTTTAAGGAGACAGGCAGGTTCGGGTGGGATATCAGCATCCAGTGATGAAAAACCACTGACTATCCTGCTGAACATGGAATTTTTTATTTAGAACCTGTGCTTTTGAACATATTCAGTGGGGAACTCCCACCTTGTGTGTCTCACAGTAATGAGGAGTGTAACAAAGGGGAAACCTCTAAACATTATATATTTCTGTCAGAGTTGTTTGACCTGCAGGTATCTATTGGCCCACATTTCAGAAAACTGAGACACTTCAGAATACTGATATTTTCTTTATAACTAGATGGAAAAATGAATCTGAATTATTTTATTAGTAGAAATGTATTTCCAAAAGTGTTTTATATACGTCTTGCCTGACTCTTCATTAGTACATTGATATTCTGCATTACTGTGCATGTTTCTTTGTTAGAGATAGAACTTTTTCGTAAATATTAAA